ATTTTTTAAAAAATTTCTCTTCTTACTAATAGAATTGTTTCACGAGTGGAATATAGGTTTTTTTTGAATTCATAAAGATTAATTATTTCTTTATAAAGATTAAACCAATAATTTAATGTAAATTAGGTTTATTTCAGCGATAAGAGCAGACATGGCAATGTCGTTTGTGACTCCACTATTCCAGATTTGCAAAACAAAACAAAAAAGTTTGATGAAAATATGATGAACGTGGTATTTTATATTTTAGAATTTTTTAGAATTTTAGAATTTTGACTTCGCATTGAAATTTTTTACATTGATTCATTAATTTCATTCAGATTTTGATTGTTTTTCAATTTTTCATTATTTTGATTGTTTTTCTAAGAAATTTAAAATTTCCTTTTCAGATTGATTCTTTAGCTAATGGAATTGCAGCTATTGTTATCGATAAAGAAATTGGTAACATTTTTGCGGAGTCCATGAACTGCAATGCTACAGTTCTACAAACTTCTGCTCATTTATACGATGGCGTGCTTGATAACTGCATTCAGTACTTTTATTTTTGTATATTCATTTTCATTTCATAATGATATTCGTAATGATATCCATTTTTTTATCGTTTTCAGAACTCAAATTGGAGAAGTTTCAATGGCGTGCTTGATAACTGCATTCAGTACTTTTATTTTTATATATTCATTTTCATTTCATAATGATATTCGTAATGATATCCATTTTTTTATCGTTTTCAGAACTCAAATTGGTTCGTAATGATATCCATTTTTTTATCGTTTTCAGAACTCAAATTGGAGAAGTTTCACTGTCTGCAAGCTTTTCAAGTAATCAAAGCAAAAAAGAAAATATTGCACAAGAAATTTGTTTTGAAAATAATATATCGCAAAATTTGCTGAATGTTGCTGAGGAAAAAATCATTGGGGATCGTTGCGCAACCGTTGTCAAGTACCTTAAAATTTTTTTGATTTTGTGATAATCTTTCTTTCTAATAATTTTAATTTTTTGTCTTATTAAAATTTATCCGTTGATAAAGTTTTTTGAATTTTCAATTGTCTTCCGTTAATTTACTTTTTTTTATTTTCAGTAGGAATAAACTGAAAAATGATAGGAAACTGCTTACCAACCTGGTTGATTCTATATCCGGCAGTTTTTGCGAAGAATTGATGGAAAATGTTGCAGACGAATTAGTCAAAGAAATTGGAAATTCTGTTTTGAAACAGGAAATTGAAAATGTACAAAAACAGATCGCTGCTCGCTTAGATAAGTAAAATTTTATTTTCGAAACCATCCAGCGTCCAATTACAATTATGAAAATTATGGTTTAATAGTGACTTTTCTTATTTTTTTGCATATTTATTTATTTTCAGACAACGGCTTAAAAATTTTGTAAATCAATGGAAAAAATATGTAGCTAAGCGAAAAGAGCAGCGTGACGCAGAGCAGGCATTCTTGA